CCGCGTGCGCCAGGAGTCGTTCAACAACGTGAAGCAGTGGCTCCAGGAGATCGACCGCTACGCCAGCGAGAACGTCAACAAGCTGCTGGTCGGCAACAAATGCGACCTGACCACCAAGAAAGTGGTGGACTACACCACGGCCAAGGTTAAAAAAAAAAAAAAAATGCCATATCGATACTTTTGCGCCGCGACATTTGCCCTCAAGTTTCCCCCGTGAAGGAAAGCGTCGCGTCATTTGGACGCCGGCGTGTGTGTGTGTTCAGGAGTTTGCCGACAGCTTGGCCATCCCCTTCCTGGAGACCAGCGCCAAGAGCGCCACCAACGTGGAGCAGGCCTTCATGACCATGGCGGCCGAGATCAAGAAGCGGATGGGCCCCGGCGCCGCCGCCGCAGCCGCCGCCGACAAGTCCAACGTCAAGATCCAGAGCAGGCCCGTCAACACCTCGTCCGGAGGCTGCTGCTGATCGCACGGACCGTGACGCCGGACCCGTGGCCGTGGGAGGAGCTTCCACGGCCCCTCCCCCCCCCTAGTGTAAATATGTGCTGCCGCGTACTAGCGTGATGCTAACCAGCCAGCGTGTGCTCGCTCCATCGTGGCCCCCCGGCCATCTGTAAAGTGTATATATTTATACATGACACAAAAGTCCATTAAAACATGAAGGAGCTGTTTGATACCCCCCGCTTGCTATATACGACTCGTTCTTCACGCAAGTCCATCGATAAAGCTCACCCCCCCGAAAAGTTAGCTTTTCAAAATCGGAAAAGCAAAATTGGAGGTGAAGTCACTTTGTTGTATCCGTGACTTTGAACTAGATGACACTGAAGTCATTTAGTTCAAAGTCACGGATACAACAAAGTCCAAAAAATAAAAAAAAATAAAAAAATGGGGAGCCTGATGGATGTTCTTGTCAATGCGCTGACGTGTACATAAGATTTTATTTCTTAAAACGCACAAAATGATTTGTATTTACACACAAGTTTGGGCGCGCCTGCGCTAAAGTTGCCCAAACATCTCCTGGGAGGCGTAGGTCATGTAGAGGAAGCCGTCGTCATCCTGGTGGTCCCCGTAGACCTGAGCCATGCTCAGGGTCATGCTGGCCAGCCCGCTGTTGTTCACCAGCAGGTAGAAGGCCTGCGAGGGCAGCAGCGCCATGCGGTTCCTGCAACGGCAACAGTGGCAGCGCCCGAACACAAAAGGCCGGGCTTTCTCGCGTTTTTTAA